TTCTTCAACATTTAAAATAGGGAAATTTAACATATCATGATATAATCACACTCTTTGGTATTTATCCAAGTAAGTTGAAAACATATTTATACAAAACAGGCACATAAATATTTATAGCCGTTTTATTCATAATTGCCCCACACTGAAGCAGCAGATGTTTTTCGACAGGTAAATGAATAAACAAGCTGTTGTATATATCCACAGAGTGGTACAGATGAGAGAATGAAACTGAAGTTAAATATGAAAGTAATTTTCTTTGTTTTTTTTTAATGATTCTTAAACTTTTCTTTCTAAAAATTTTTATTAATATAAAGATAACGGATTTTATGGATACAATTCTAAGATAACCATACTTTTCTCCTTTCCTCCATCCCTCAAAACATCCTCCCTCTTTCTTTTTTTCCTTTAATTTTTGCAATAACTTTTTGTTGTGTTTCATACATACAGGTTTTTTAAAGATACTATTTATTTATTTGAAAGGTAGAGTTAGAGACAATGAGAGGGAGAGACAGAAAGAAAGGTATTCCTTCCGTTGGTTCACTCTCCAAATGGCTGCAATGGCCAGAGCTATGCTAGTATGAAGCCAGGACTAGAACTGGCACCCATATAGGAAACCAGCACCACAGGTGGCTGATTAACACATTGCACCACGGTGCTGGTCCCCATATATACAGTTTTTGAAAGCATAATGATACTTCCTACCATACCATCCCCCTCCCCCTCCCTTGCTCCCACCATCTCTGCTTTCTGTTTTCTTATTTTTCTTTTAATTTTTACAATGACATACTTCCAATTTTCTTTATAACCACAAGCTTAACCCTCAACTAAATAAAGATTTCAACAAGTAGTAAGTAGCAAAATCATTGTTCTTCAAGAGTATAGATAAGGGATTTAAACAATAATCAAATCGCAAATGTCAATTTTGCTCACATTATATTTTTGGTACTCTACTAGTTACCACAGATCGGGGTAACATATGGTATTTGTTTTTTTGGGATTGGCTTATTTCACTAAGCATAATGTCCTTCAGTTGCATCCATTTTGTTGTGAAAGACAGGATTTCATCCTTTTATTGTAGGATTCCATCATGCATGTGTACCACAATTTCTTTATCCAGGTATTAGCTGATGAAGATCTGGGTTGATTCCATATCTTAGCTATTTTGAGATGATGTGCTATAAAGATGGGGTACAGATAATTCTTTCACATGTTGGTTTCATTTCCTTTGGGAAAATTCCCAGGAATGGGATGGTTGGGTCACATGATAGATCTATTTTCGGGTTTCTGAGGAGGAAAAAAAAAGGAATCTGCATATTGTCTTCCACAATGGTTGTACTGGTTTACATTTCCACAGAGTATTAGGATAACTTTCCCCTAATATCCTTACCAGCATTTGTGATTTTTTAATTTTTAGAAGATAGCCATTATAACTGGGGTGAAGTGAAATCTCATTGTAGTTTTATTTACATTTCCCTGATGGCTAGTGATCCTGAGAATTTTCATGTGTCTGTTGGCCATTTATATTTCATCCTTTAAAAAGTGTCTGTTTATGTCCTTAATTCATTTCTTAACTAGGTAGTTTATTTTGTTATCATTGAGTTTCTTGAGCTCCTTATATAGCCTAGATATTAATCTTTTATCAGATATATAATCTGCAAATCTTTTCTCCCATTCTGTCAGAAGCTTCTTTACTTTGTTGAACCTTTTTTGAAGACTTTTTTTTTATTTATCTGAAAGACAGAGTTACAGAGAGAGTTAGAGACAGAGAACAAGAGGTCTTCCATCCTCTGGTTCATTCCCCAAGTGGCTATAATTGCTGGAGCTGAGCCAATATAAGAGCCAGCAGCCTCTTCTGGGTCTCCCATGTGGATACAGTGGCCCAAGAGTTTGGGCCATCCTCTGCTGCTCTCCAAGGCACATTAGCAGGGAGTTGGATTGGAAATGGAGCAGCTGGGACTCCAACTGGTGCCCATATGGGATGCTGGCACAGAAGGCAGGGACTTTAACCCACTGTGCCACAACACTGGCTCCACTTTGTTGAATATTTTAGGGGAGAGGTCTTGCTTCATATTTATGTATGCAGGGATCCAGTTTTCCCAACAGCATTTGTTGAAGAGACTATCCTTTCTCCAATGAGTGGTTTTAGTTCATTTGTCCAATATTAGTTGATTGTTGATGCATGAATTAATTTCTGGGGTCTCAAATCTGTTCCATTAGTTAACATGTCTATTCTTGTGCTAGTATCAGAACATTTTGATCATAACTGCCCTGTAGTATGTCTTGAAATCTTCCTCCAGCTTTATTTTTATTGTTTAAGATTGCTTTAGCTATTTGCAGTCTCTTTTGATTCCATATGAATTTAGGGTTGTTTTCTCCACATCTGAGAACATCTTTGATATTTTGATTTGGGATCACATTCAATCTGTAAATTGTTTTGGGTCATAATGGACTTTTTTTTTTTTGACAAGCAGAGTTATAGTCAGTGAGAGAGAGAGAGAGAGACAGACAGACAGAGAGAAAGGTCTTCCCTCGTTGGTTTGCTCCCTAAATGGCCACCATGGCCAGCACTACGCTGATCTGAAGCCAGGAGCCAGGTGCCTCTTCCTGGCCTCCCATGTGGGTGCAGGGGCCCAAGCACCCGGGCCATCCTCCACCGCCCTCCTGCACCACAGCAAAGAGTTGGATTGGAAGAGGAGCAACCTAGACTAGAACCTGGCACCCATATGGGATGCCGGTGCCGCAGGCGGAGGATTAACCAAGTGAGCCATGGCTTCCAAGCCATGAACATGAAAGATTTTTCCATCTTTTTGTGTCTTCTTCTATTTCTGTCCTCAATGTTTTGTGTTTTTCACTGTAGAAATTTTTCATGTCCTTGGTTAAATTTATACCAAGATGTTTAATTTTTGTAGTAATTATGAGACTGATCTTACAAGTTCTTTATCAGCCATGGCATTGTTTGTGTATACAAAGGCTACTGACTTTTTTGTGTCGATTTTACAACCTGTATTTTTGCCAAATGCTGTGTTCCAATAATCTATTAGTAAAGTCTTTTGGTTCTTTTATGTATAGGATCATATCATCTGCAAACAGGGAGAGTTAAATTTTCTCCTGTTCCATTTGTATCCCTTTGATTTCTTTTTCTTTTCTAATGGCTTTGGTTAAAACTTCCAGAATTACATTGAATAGTAATGGTGAGAGTGGGCATCTTTGTCTGATTCTGGAACTTGGTGGAAATGCTTTCAGCTTTTCCCCATTCATTATGATGCTGGCTTTGAGTTTGTCATATATTGACTTGATTGTTGAGGAGCTATGTTCCTTCTATACAAAATTTGCTTAATGTTTTTATTGTGAAAGGATGTTGTATTTTATAAAATGCTCTCTCTGCATCTATTTAGATGGTCATATGGTTTTTATTCTTCATTCTGTTATTGTGATGTGTCACATTTATTGATTTGCATATATTGAACCATTCCTGCATACCAGGGATAAATCCCAGTTGGTCCAGGTGAGTGATCTTTCTGATGATGTGTTGGATTCAATTAGCTGTCAATTTACTGAGGATTTTTACCAACTATGTTCATCAGGGACATTGATCTATAGTTCTTTCTTTCTTTTTTTTTTTTGACAACACGGAAAAACTGCTATTTATTTAAAAGAAAACTTTTCAATACAATACAGAAATGGCAATATAATTAAAGAAGGGGCAATAACTGGCACATACATTAGTTCAAAGTATTTTCACTAAGCACCAACTAGTATCATTCTCAAATCTTTTCATGAGGAGCACCTTTATTACTAAGGACTAATACTTTAAGTTTTTAATCAAGAAGTTTAAAGCTGCCAATGAGAGTTCCTAATTAGCTTTGTGATGACCAGGTTAACCCTCTTAGAGTGTAAGCAAAAATGACTTGTAAAAGCTTTGTTTGTAACTGAAGGGATTCACTGGCTTCGGCTGGGTATCAGGGCCAAGGGCTAAACATCACACACACCAGAAAACTAAGTAGTGAGTATCATGTGTCAGTGATAAATCATACATGGGACTAATACCTAACTCCAACAGGTCTTCAAGGATCGACCCACAGACACTGATTCAACCCTAACCTCCCAGGGTGAACCAGGCAAGGGCAAGGGAAGAGGTGAGCATTCAAGGCCAGGGAGAACAAAACAGCCAAGACTCAGCCCAAAAGATAGCACAGTCCACGTTTTGGGAGGAGGGACACAGCCACTAAGAGATTCTATACATCAGGGAAAGGAAAAGCCCATTCAACAAGAGGGGAAAATGTCTCCCTAGCACAGAGGCTCCACAGCTCTTTGGGGAGGCTCAGAGGCTGAGGATCACCCTGGGGCCCAGCCCTCAGTCCAAAGTCCCATCCCCTTAAAATGAAATTCACAAGCTAAAAGCTTTCTAGAAACTGTCTTTGCTCCAAAAAAGTAAAACATGAACACAGCAAACAAAACTCAAACTAAAAGACTATCAGAGTAAGCTTTAACCCCTGCTACTTCCCCTGCAAGAACAGGATCTGCCGTTATCTCCACTGATTGACTTCTGCAGAGCTTGTCAAAACCCGGCATCTCACTGCTCCTGCTAAATCCTCTCCCAAAGAAAGTAAGCACCACACTAAACACAAACACACCCCAAATAAAAGCCAGAGTGAACTTAAGGACCCCTGGAATATTACAACCCTAACCTAGGGTATTTAATCCTCTTCTGACCTATTTACAAAATACCAACTTCTGTAACACTCTGGAAGCATTGCAGACTTGGTTGCATTAGATTCCTCTTCTTGAGGTAGTTCAAAGTCTGAACACAATTTAGATATGTTTCTAAATTACCCGAGGAGAAATTATCCTAAAAGGCTTAAGCAAAATCCCTTTCCCCTGATTCTCAGACTACAGTAATTCTTTTTCTCAGATCATATAAACTAACCTAACAAATGTAAAGAGGATGAAAAGTCATACAAAAAATACAAAAAAAAAATCATCGTAAGAGTCTGCAGTGTCATCACACTGTCTCAACTTTGCACAAGACAAAAAGAAAAGTACTTTCTTAAGCTAAAGCCTTTTTATAAAGTATGCAAGAAATTAACAATTTATAAAAACCAGGGGGAAGTTTTAATTGGGAGCATAAAACCAGAATCATCTCATTCTCTGGCAAAGAGTGCTTCCCAATTCCAAGTCCAAAGGTGCACTGAGAGGCAGAACTGTCTGTCCAAGGCTGCCTCAGGTCTGCTTCAGAGGGGCAGGGATATTAGCAGACGCCTGCTCCAGGTAGGCCAATGAGCCCTGGGGGATCTCGGCTGGCTTTTTGTGCTGCAGGTTGATGTCCTCCAGCACCTGCTGCCAATGCCTCAGCTTGGTCAAGTGCTTCTGCACCAGCGCATCCTTCCGCTGCAGTTCATTCCTCAGTTCTGAGACATCCTCTTTGATAACTGGCTCTGGCTTCTGAACAGACAACTGCAATCTTTTTTGCAGGAAAAAACATTCTGTTTGTCTTGCAATATCTAGAAGCTTCTGGATACACTGATCAACACCAGTTCGAATTTCTTCCTGATCGGTGCCATTGACATAGTCCTGACTCACCAGAGAAGTAAAACAAGCCTTGAATGATGATTCCAACTCGTCCACCAAGGTACTGTTAGAACTTCTTGGAGTTCCTGGTGCTGCCTGAAGAAGCGAAGCCTGGTCTGGGAGTCCAGACCCTGGTGGCGGGGGCCCCGGTGGCAGCCAGGAGAACATGCCGCCCAGCGGAGTCGCCATGTTTGGAATCGATCTATAGTTCTTTCTTTATTGTATCTTTTTCTGGTTTTGGAATTAAGGTGATGCTGGTCTCATAGATGGAGTTTCAAAGGATTCCCTGCCTTTCAAACTTTTTGAATAGTTTGAAAAGAATTGGAATTGGTTCTTCCTTAACAGTTTTGTAGAATTCAGCAGTAATGTCATTTGGTCCTGGGCTTTTGATTCTTGGGAGGGTCTTTATTACTGATTTAGTATCCATCTTGGTTATTGATCTATTTAGATTTTCCAAATCCTCATGACTCAGTTTTGGTAGACCGTATATATCCAGAAATCTATCCATTTCTTCTAGGTTTTCCGATTTGATGGCATATATTGTATGTAGTGATTCCTGTTGATGCTTTTTATTTCTGTGGAATCCTTCATGACATCTCCTTTTTCATCTCTGATTTTATTAGTTTGGGTATCTTTTTCTTTTTTGATTAGTTGGGACAATTGTGTATTAATTTTGCTTTTTTTAAAAAAAATTAGCACTTCATTTCACTGATTTTTTGTCTCTTTTTTGGTTTCAATTTTGTTTACTTTTCACATTTTTATTATTTCTTTCCTCCCATGTTAAAAACAAATTCATGAATAAAAATTACATTTCTTTCTAAATAGCTAGAGGAGAGCACCAAAGAACAGCAAAGCAACAGAAATCCCGTATAGCACAGAAACTCAAGATATCCACATAAAGAAGGCTAGGAAAGGAAGAACTTTGTCCTGTCATCCCTCCGCTAGTCAGGATCAGCTAACAGCCATGGGAGACATCTTCCTGTGGGGAAGTAGTAAGCAAGAGGATCCTAGCAGCCCCTTCATCTACAGACACTTGTGTGTCCACCAATGGAGACCCTCTCAGATCCCACAAAATCTGAATCCAATAAGAGAGTTGAGCTACTCCTACAGGAGGAGTCAATGCTGTGCCCACCCACTGTGGTTCATGATGCTGTGCATTATCTTATAACTGAAGCTTCTACTCTGGGGTATGTTAGTCATTGCACCCCTCCATTACTCGAGCTCACTTGCCACCATGCCACGGCAGCTTGTAGTGAGCCACCCCTAGTCTGAGTTGTTGCTATGCCTTGCTTCCTAGAGCCCAAGCAATCGTAGAGTTGCATCATCCTTCTGTTCCAGTCACTGGGGCACCCTCTCGTCAGGGCTAAGCTGAAGTGGTTTATTATCCATCAGGAACCTGAAACATTGAACCATTGGGGTTGTCATACTTGAGAGCCATGGTTCTGGCAGCATCTTGACTCCAGGGGCTTCAGGCCTCTTTCATAACAGAATAGTCACACTTACCTGTCACAACTGATTCACTGACTCACCTCCAGAGATCCACTTCTCTCTCTCTCTCTCTCTCTCTCTCTCTCTCCTTCTCTCTCTCTCTTTATCTCCTCCTTCTCCTTGCCTTTTAAATAAATAAATAAAAAATAAATCTTTTAAAAATATCCAACTATATGTTTCCTATGGGAGATACAGTTAAGCTTTCAGGACACAGGTTAGTTGAAAGTGAAAGGATAGAAAAAGATATTCCATAATTTTATGAATTTGTACATATATACATTCATTAGATTGACTCTGCACTAAGTAAAGAGTTCAACAAATAGTAAGATGGAAAAAAATACAATGTTCTTCATAGTAGAGATAAGAATTGTAAACAATCATCAAATCTCAAAATGCCAATTTTGCTTCTATATGTTACATTTTTGGTACTCTATTAGTTACCACAGATCAGGGAAAATATATGGGAATTGTCTTTTTGGGACTGGCTTATTTCACTGAGTTTAATGATTTCCAGTTGTATGCATATTGTTGCAAAAGACAGGATTTCATTCTTTTTTTATAGCTGAGCAGTATTCCATACTCTGTATATATACTATAATTTCTTTTTACAGTCATCAGCTGATGGACATCTAGGTTGGTTCCATATCTTAGCTATTGTGAACTGAGCTGCAATAAACATGAGAGTACAGATAACTCTTTTTTATAAGATTTATTTATTTTATTTGAAAGTCAGAGTCACAGACAGGCAGAGAATGAGACACAGAGGTCTTCCATTTGCTGGTTCACTCCCCAAATGGCTGCAACAACCGGAGCAAGGCCAATCCAAAGCCAGGAACCAGGAGCTTCTTCCGGGTCTCACATGTGGGTCTAGGGCCCAAGAACTAGATTCGTTTTCTACTGCTTTCCCAGGCCATAGCAGAGAGCTGTATTGTAGGTGGAGCAGCTGGGACTTGAACCAGCACTCCTATGGGATGCGGGCACTGCAGGTGGTGGCTTTACCTGCTATGCCACAATGCCAGCCCCCAGATAACTCTTTCACATAGGGATTTCATTTCTTTTTGGTAAATTCCCAGTAGTAGGATTGCTGAGTCATACGGTATACTTATTTTCAGCTTTCTGAGATATTTCCATACTGTCTTCCACAATACTTATACTAGTTTACATTCCCACCAAGAGTGGATTAGGGTACTTTTCCCCCCCACATCCTCTTCAGCATTTATTGTTTGTTGATTTCTATGTGAGAGCCATTCTAAACCGGGGTGGGGGGGTGGGGGGGTGAGGTGAAACCTCATTGTGGTTTTGATTTGCATTTGCCTGATGGTTAGTGATCCTGGGTATTTTTTCATGTCTGTTGGTCATTTGAATTCCCTCTCTTGAAAATGCCTCCTGAAGTCCTTTTCCTATTTCTTAGCTGAATTGTTTGTTTTGTTGTTGTTGAGTTTCTTGAACTCTTTATAGATTGTGTGTTTTAATCCTTTATCAGTTGCCTAGTTTGCAAATATTTTCTCCCATTCTGTGGGTTGCCTCTTCACTTTGCTGAGTGTTTCCTTTGCATCACAGAAACTTCTCAGGTTGATGTAATCCCATTTGTCAATTTTGGCTTTGATAGCCTGTGCTTCTGGGATCTTTTCCAAGAAGTCTTTGCCTATGCCAATGCCTTGCAGAGCTTTCCCAGTGTTCTCCTATAGCAATTTGATGGTATCAGGTTGTAGATTTAGATCCTTGATCCATTGTTGAGTTGATTTTTGTATAAGATATAAGGTCTTATTTCATACTTCTGCATACAGAGGTCTAATTTTCCCAGCACTATTTGTTGAAGAGACTGTCCTTTCTTCAAGGATTGATTTTCCAGCATTGTTTTGTTGTTTAATGTTGCTTTAACTATTTGGGGGGGTCTCTTCAAAATTGATCAATGCCCAGGGTTATCCCACAGTGGATGCAATACTCACCCACACTGCCACCTGAACCACAGAAAAAATCTTCAGTCCTCAGTGTGAGCATGGATCCCTCTGCAGTGGCCTATCTCAGGCCGTCAGGGAGCTCTGAGTCCTGGCACCAGACATGGTGATTACCCAGAGACCCAGTTACACCTCATGCCCTATCATGCAGTCGTAGAGTTTCCACAGTGACAGCATACAAGTCTCCCACAGCCATGGGGTGCAGAGTATCTGCTCCTTCCCACTAGCCGGTCCCATCCACAGAAGGAGCAGAGACTTACCCAGAGCCAGCTGCTGGAGCCTGTGATATGTTGAGGATGTGGGCACCTCACAGTCCTGTGTGAATGCCCCAGCCTCCTGTCAATCCTGCCAGCCAGACTCAAAGTCAGTGGGGAAAGTGGAATTTTCCCTCTGGTAAAATTCCCAAATCACATGCGTGCACCAGTACCACCTCGGCCTCTATTTGTGTCAAAATGCTGTCTTATCCCTGCCAGTTGCCAGGCATCCTTGTGTGTGAATGGGGAGAAAGAAATGTGTTTTTCTTTTGTTGTGTTAGGTGGGTACCCTGCCCCCCAGTTGGTCTCCAGGCCACACTCAAAGGCAGTGTGGTCCACACGGCTCTCCCTCGGGTCATATTACCAGTGGCACGGGCTGTGGCAGTCTTCTCTCACTTTGCTCCCCAAAGCTGACATCTCCTCCAGTTTCTGGCTGTGGGGATCATGTGTGATTTCTCCACTTCCTGCTTCACAACTGTGCCTTCCACGCTGCTCCACGGCGTCCTTCTCCCTTCTGTGGAATTTCCATTGCAAACCACGCTCCAACTTTCCCCTGGGAATGTGCTGTCCACTTTTCTCCTGCTGCATTTCCCTCATATAGAGCAATGCATTTTTTCCCCATTCAGCCACCTTGCAATCCAAGATGACTTCAATAACAGGAAAAAAAGAGAAATTGAGTAGTCCACAGAAGCCTTGTAGGTTTTATTTTTATTTTTTAGTAGATCTGCTGTGCTTCCTGACACTTTATCCTAAGTGGTGTGTGGCGGTCAGTTGTTAATGCAATGTCATACTCTTCAAAACAGTTCACAGTGTTCTTCTCATGGAGGACAAAATAATCTATTTTTCTTAGGATTCTTTTGAAGAAGTCCAGTGATGAAATCCTTTAATCTCTGTTGACACCTTGATTCACTGTTGAAACACAAAATAATACAATTCTCTTTCCCAATGTCTGGATTCCACAAAGTTCACAAATATCAGAGTGCACAGATATGCCAAATGATAAGATGGAATTTGATATATTTGGGATCTACAGCAGCAACACAATTGGTTCTTTAGACGTTTTGGATAGTTTTTCAGACTTTGCTGTCAAAGGCAGTTGAAGTGAAGCTGACAATGGTATTGGAGGGTCTCATTTTCAAGACTCTGAGGTCAGATTTTCCCTGGACTTTATGACAGCTACACTTCATGTAGAAGGCCACATATGAAGGGGTCTGGGATTCTCAGAATTGTATAATGTCTAAAAGTGTAAGCCAAACTTCTTGAGTTGAGTATATCATCTCAGTTTGAGTCATATTTGCATATCGCCTATACTTTTCATTTTATAAATTTTTAGAACATAGACACATATGTCTATGAAGGGGAGACTTTATATCACTAGTGCACAATATCACATTTCTTACCCCCAAATAGAAAATAACCAAAACATAAACTGGTAGCAGTTCCATAGTGGAAAGAACTACTTTGCCTTTGCTGTGAAGTAGACCTGGGCTAAACACACATGACTTACATGTACAATTCAAATACTTCATTGGTAACATTGGGTAGTTTTTTTTAGAATCATATCATAGACATAGTTGCTTTATTTGTAAAATGGAGGTAATTTCATCTAAATTTTAGTGTACTTCTAAAAAATATGTACAAATGCTATGAGAAAAACCACGTAGCAATACTGAGACAAAGTAGATAATCAGTAAATAGCAGCTCTTAACCATAATCATGTATTTTGAAGCTGTTTTTGAAATTTTCTCCTCATTTCCACCTGCTAAAATCTTACTCAAACTTGAAGATTTAAATTTAGAAATTTATTCTTCTTCCAGAATTTCTCTTATTTTTCCTCCTATAAACAAAATTTATTGCAGCATTGTGAAGTAATTTGAAAACAGAAACACAAAAAGGAAAAAATTGAAAATGTAAACTTTTTTCTTTTATTGCATGTGATTTACTCTAATTTTAAAAAGAAGCAAAGGATGATTAATACAAATATTTGGTGAGTTTTTTTTTCCCAAAGAAGAGCTGTTTTCCAGACACTGGTTTCTTTTTTAATTAACTTAAGAGGAATTTTACATTAAGTGTCATGATTTGTTTTCAGGTTGTAACAACATATACACACACATACACACAAATTTCAGAAGACAACTTTTTAAAATAACAGACTGCTGAACCTAAAGAGATTATAACTAGAGACCTTATACCGATAATAAAAACTCACATAAAGAACAAGATTGTGTTTATGCTTATTCTTTAGCTTGACTTGAAACAGAGTGCCACACACACTAAAACTTGCAGACTAAGTGCTTCTATCATTAATGACGTAAAGCATATTCTGTTTCTGTACTGTTGGATATGTGCCTATCAAGACAGCAGAAGGCTATTAAATCTGAAGAGATCAGAGTATAGCACAGCCTAGAATATCGCCAAATGACTAATACATGTCTATGCATATCACAATTCTTCCTGGCATCATTAGTGTACTTCAAATGAGTTTATGTTGTTAGAGAACAACTATTTAATCTAGTTTAAAAATGAAGCTGGATATTGTTTTTACTTTTTAAGAAGAATTGTTCCATTTTTAAATCAATCAAATCTTTTAAAGATTTTATGTGTTTATTTATTTGAAATTATTTTTTTGAGAGTCAGTGAGTGATCCTATCCATTGGTTCACTCCCCAAGTGCCAGCAATAGACCAGCTGTTCAGGCCTACCTTGTGGATGGTATAAATCCAACTACTTGAGCCATCACAGCTGACTACAAGTGTTGCATTAGCAGAAAGCTGGAGTCAGGAGCTGGAGCTGAAAATCAAACCCAGGCAGTGACAAGCACGTGTCCTAATAAGCGTGTTAAGCACTAGATCAAATGCCCACTGCAAACACTGGAAATGTGAAGGGCAATATCAGATAAACATCTTTCAAGGAGATTGGATTAAAATATATAATACGAAACTAGATTTTTTTCCATAACAGAATCAAAGGTAGCATATGCACGGATTTAAGTGGATGTGTATAACCCCCATTCTCAATAACATGTTATCTTCTTTGACTTTGATCTATTGTAAAAGTAAAAACAAATATGAATATTTTCTCCCTAAGATTATTATGAGCAACATCTGACCTCAGAAGTTGTATGTTTTCATTTTAACACTTTGTATTGTTTATTTATGGCTGCCATAACAAATTAGCACATGCTTAATTGCTCAAAAAAACTACTCATTTACTTTCTTATGGTTCTGTAAGTTAGAAATCCAACCTGGGACTCACTGAGCTAAAGTTAAGATGTGAACAGGGCTGCTTTCCTTCTGAAGACTTGAAGAGAGAATTTATTTTCTTGCCTTTTCCGCCTGCTGGAGATTGTCTGCATTCCTTCTTTGGCCTGCGCTTTCTTCCTCCGTTTTCAAAGCCACAAGTGTCTTAGCTCTCTGACCCAGGTAGGACATGTTCTCTGCTTTTAAGGACATCTGAAATTAGATTCAGCCTGCATGGAGGATTGCAGGATAACATTTCAAAGTCTGTATTCTTAATCACTTTGGCAAATGTGGATATGTGAAGTTAGATATCCACAGTTTCCGGAGATTAGGACATGGACTTTGGGGGCCATTTTCCATCATCCATCCACTTCTAACAAAGAAAAGCAAAAGGAAATTCTATTTAGAGTGCTTCTAATTTACATTGGTTGCCATGGGTCTGGGAAAAGCTGTGGAGGCACAACTTTTAGCTTGTATTTTCAATAATGATCCACTTAGAATGATTTGCATCTTAACAAGACAAAATTGAGAAAATAGAAGTGAGCGCAAAAGTGTTAAACTTTTGGTGCCATTATTTTCACTAGGACAAAAAGGTATTTTACTAGAATTTGGGCTCAGGGAGGCTGTCTGTAGAGGCTCTCAACAATTAACCAACATTGCATAAAGTCCTATAATACAATGGAGGAAAGAATCTTACCTGAATGAATTATATGTGGCTTAAATAATTAATTGTATATAAAAGACCCAAAACAGTACTTGATCCAAACTTATTACTCAACAGAGCATATTTCTGCATCTCTCCTTATAATTCAAGGTAAAATAAATTAGTAACACTATGCCAAAGGGGCAGAGAGTAAATAAAAGAGGAAAAATAGGGTGAATAAAAAAAGTCATTGTTCTCTCCACTTGGCAAGGGACCATAGAGAGTAGATTAAGAGCAGAGACCTTCTGGAGGAAGATCTCTGAGCTCTGTGTGCATCTGTCTAGAAATACCTGTTAGAATCCTGTACCCAGAAACCCTCAAAATGTTTGAATATTTATAATCTGTAAGTGCACAGTTCACTGAGTAAAAAATGTTTGTAGGACTCTTTGGGGAGAAAGACTGGGGAAAGTACGCTACACATTTAATACTGATTTTGCTTCTGAGGGATTAGTCTTTTATTCAGTCATTGGGTCTAAATCTGAAACCTGAATCTGGTCTGGAAACTGGAAAAAAAATCTTATTTGGTGAACTGCTTTCAACCTTCTTCTGATCATTCATTTTTGCTTCTTTTCGGAATATATTTGGATCCTTGTTGACTTCCTGTATGTGAGTAATTACAGATAGCAGATTCCATTAATTATCTCCAGATTAGTCCCTTCTCATCATTGCCCACTCCTTCCAAACATGCTATTCATTGTTTTCCAAGAACTATGTGGCACCGTCCAGTCCCTGATGCTTTAGGAGCCTACATCTCTACATGTGTAGGTCTATATCAAATCCTCTACCCTGAGGCTTAGCCTAGAGGAGAACGCCATGACCGGCATCTCTGAACTCTCGCTGTCCTATAACTGTTTTCAAAATTTAAAATTGCTCAAAACTAAAATAGATTGTTAAAAATAAAATATTCACTATTATGTATTGAATAGTGTCTGTTTAAATTGATCCAATGATGCTTTTCTAACTATCTTGCATGTAATAGATCTAGGTTATGATAGTCTCATTTCTGTATTAGAAAATTTCCAGAAAATAATAGAGAAAGCAAATTTTCAATCAAATGACTCACACAAGGGCTACAATTACATTCAATAATCCTTATAAGTTTATTTTTGCATGAGCTACAGAAAACTTGCACAGAAGGCAAAGGCAAAAAAGGAATGAAAAAGAGTAAAGTATATGAAATCAAACTACAATTTATCTGGTGAAGAAAAAATTATCAGTAATCTCAATCTTACATGAAAACTTAGTTTGGTTTCAGGTATCTTCTTGCATCAGAATGAAATGTTAGAGACTTAGGAGAAGGTGGGAGTAATTCTGTGACCCTGACTCAGCAGAGCTTAAGAATGTGAGCATGAGGGTAAAAGAAATGATTCAAACTGGCAGAAGCACTGAGGGATGTATTTTCAAATACGTCTCTATATATCTATCTATCTGTCATCTATCTATTTATTAGCTATCTATCTATCATCTTACATATAATCATTTTTGCTATAGCATTTTTATTAGCTCATCATGTTTTTCCTTCATACCAATGAATAATAGAACTTCCATTTTCAATAATTCCCCTTTTCTCCTTCTTTGGTACTGCTGACACATCTTCAACATTTACCCTGTCTTGCTACAGAGCTTGCCTTTTAATTAAAGTCTGCCAATAAAAGAGTTCACATTCTTTATCCACAATGACTGGTTTAGGCATGAGTTCCTTCAAGTAAGAGGAATGAGTCATTTTTTGGAAATTTTGATGAAACTAATTTTGAGTAACAGTGCAATGTGAAGTCATCTGACTATCTATCTTTGTCACTTAAAGGGAAGACGACACCTAAAGATGAAGCAAACTTGGAGGGAAACAGATCTGACAGATGGAGGGAGAAACTGATTCCTAATCACATTGTTTGAATGCTTGGGACCTGCCATTTACGAGGTCAGTACATCCATTGGAAGCTCCCAGTGAGTAAACCAATATATTTCCTTTTTTAAATGTCTGTTTAATCTGATTTCTGACTCTACTCATGCTTGTAGTCTGCTGCTACGCAATTAAGATTATGGGCTGCATTTCTTCTCCTCTATGGTTTCTAATTCTGAAGTTTTAAGTTTTATAGAACTTTGCTTTTCCAGCTTCCCAGGCAATGTTTATGTAGGTAGAGAGTGTATTTGGAACATCGTCTTACTGAGAAAATGGGTACCTGGACCTTAGGCTAATTTAGAATCACAGATAATGTGTTTACTATGAACTCAGGTGTCAATTGAACAAACACTGAACTGAACTCCATGGTTTAGCATGAACTAAGGTTTCTCATATTGTCTCATTGACTCAGAAAGTTTTTACAAAACATAATTATCATATATGGTACTGAACACAAGCAGAAGTAGACAAGCTGCATGGGTAGGCAACCAGATCTCTAATTCATTATACAACGTACCTTACAACACATTTCTCTCTATCTCTACTTCTCTCTTTTCAAACCACACTTATCGATGCAGAGGAAATGCATTTATCTTTTATTTGTTTTGAAAGATTTATTTATTTATTTGAAAGTCAGAGTTACAGAGAGAGGAAGATACCTCGAGAGGGAGAGGGAGAGGGGGAGAGAGAGAGAGAGAGAGAGAGAGAGAGATGAATCAATCTTCCATTAGCTAGTTTGCCCCTCAAATGGTTGTGGAGGTCAGGGAAGAGCCCGGCCAAAACCAGGAGCCAGGAGCTTCATCCAGGTCACTCAAATGTGTGCAGGGCCCAAGCACTTGGGCCATTTCCACTGCTTTTACCAGACCATTAGCAGGGACCTGGATTGGAAGTGGAGCAGCCGAGACTTTAGTTGGTGCCCATATGTGATGCTGGCGTCTCAGGTGGTGGCTTTATCCACTACACCACAATGCCAGCCCCAAGGGGCACCGGTTCTAGTCCCAGTTGCTCCTGTTCCGATCCAGCTCTCTGCTATGGCCTGGGAAGGGAGTGGAAGATGGTCCAAGTTCTTGGGCCCCTGTACCCTCGTGGAAGTCCTGAAAGAAGCTCCTGGCTCCTGGCTTTGGATCGGCGCAGCCATCTGGGGAGTGAACCATTGGATGGAAGACCTTTCTCTCTGTCTCTACCTCTCTATAACTCTGTCTTTCAAATAAAATAAATAAATAAACTCTGTCCTTCAAGTAAATAAATCTTTAAAAAATGACTGTATGTAACTTAAAAAACAATTAATATATACTGAAACCAACACTTCTTAATCATTACATTTTATTATTATCTGCACTTAAGGTATTTTTGAACATTTTATTTATTTATTTGGAAAGCAGAGCAGCAGGATAAAGAGAGTTTGAGAGAGAGCAGAAAAGAGTGCTCCTTGAGGAGAAAGAGAGAGCGGGCGAGAGCGAGAGAGCAAGCTAAAGAGAGTGCTCCTTGAGTCTTCATTGCTGCCTCTGAGGGCTTGGAAGGACTGGATCAGAGGTACTCCAATATGGAATGCAGGTATCCCACCTGGTGTCTTAATTCCTATGCCCAATTCCCACCCCAGTTATTTTAATTGAATTTTGTGGTGGATTTGCCACATAGTAGCATGTTACTGCTCATCTTTTCTTGCCTTCTCATTCAGGAAAATCATGTTAGTAACTTAAAATTGGCCTTAGTGAGAATGCTCATTCCATGGAAACTGGCAAATGCTAAAAATAAACTCTTTCCCCTGGAATTGATGGTTGGTAAACAACTGCTAGCACATGACTGCATGTAATTTTACAGAAATCCAGCTCTCCTTAAGATAGGAAACCATTTCAAGTAAGAGAGAAGACTATTTTTTGTCATGAACACTTTTATTCAGATTTTTAAAAAACAGGATAAGAACACATAGTATGAATCTTTTCCTTTTAAAAAAATTTTGCTAATTAGAACAGATTTCATAGGTAAAATTCTAAGAAGCTAACCACACTTCCCTCACTCTCTCTTTCCCTCCTCCAAACCCCCTCCCCATTTCTTTTCTTTTTTTAAAAAAATTTTGCAAAAACGTATTTTTGGTATACTCTATAATCACAGGCTTATTGCATCACTAACTATAATATTAAACAAAGAAAAAGTAGAAAAACCACAGTTCCATAGGCATATCAATAAAGACAAAAACAGCAATCAAATCACAAGATGTCTGTTCTGTTCTTACACTTTTTTTGGTATTCTGTTTTAAATATTACATGTAAAACAGCTTGTTAGAATATAAGAATTAGCTGTCTGTCATGGCTAATGAACACTACCAAAAAAGGGGGTTTGTTTGCCATTAATTTAACAAGGAATCCACAGAGATTTGTGAACTGAAATTAGGATTTCAAGAAACAATTCTGGGGCACTGAAACTCAGGTCACCATGGGCTTCTCTCTCATACACTCTCTAGAGTAACTGCTGTTTGTGCAATGACTTCCTTTTGAGACACCACTGTTTATTAATATTTGTGCTTTTAGCTGATTAATGATTCCTTTTGTGTTCAGTAGTTTTTATTACATTTTAGGTAGGAGATCATATGCATGTTTATTTCATAATTAGGTAATGTAAAATTTGTGCTTTCTTTTTTCTGTGCAAACCGTCAAAGTACCTAAATTGTGGAAATAAAGTGTTAAAATGTAAAATGAATGTAACTCCAAAGTGTTTTCTGTGGGAGTTCATTGGATTTGCCAGTGATTTTAGTACATGGCTACTCAATTGCAGCTTTGGCAGAGGTGCTATATTCTTTTATGTTGCAGTATAAGCTGCTAGTTTAAAAGAAGAAATATTAAAAATAAACTGTGCCATTCACTTTTCCCATTACTAAGGGTCTGTTTTTGCTAGTAAAATAGAATCTAGGTTTCTAAAATGTATTAGTAAGATAGTATCTGACAAAATAAAGCAGAAATAAAAAACAATCAGCCAAGCAACCAAACAAAAAATAAAAGAAAAAAAAAATAAGAACGTTTGTTAGCCCAGGGAACACTTTGTGCAGGTATTTTACAGAGTGAAGACTTGGTATTGAGTCTTGCATTGCTAAATGATTTTGCACAGGAATTATATTGACACAATCTTGAAACGCTTTTCCATTAGGAAACCAATTTTCACTTAAGTGGTGAAATCAAGCTGCAGCTTGATTGTTATAGTGAGAAGGATTATCCTGTCAAATCAGATGTGAAGGCAATGTTTGTGTTTAGACAAATACTGAAAATTATTTGAGTGCAAAAGAGCAGCACAGCAATAAAGTTGTAATATAACAAAATAAGCTTTAAAAAAAACTGGCCTCTATTCTTCCCTTAAAATGGAATTTTACAGTGGTTCGCTCAACCTATTCTAAAAAACAGCATCCTACAAAGCTTAATAGTTCTTATCAACAAAAATTTTATTTTGATTATATTGAATGTTTGAGAGACATTTGTTTTCTATACTGGTTTGTATGTGTTATTAATATTGTTTGTTTTTTATCATCTAATATTTAAAGCTTTTCCCCTTTAACTAAAGCCTTTAATTTGGGGTGATTCTTTTGTTATTTATAAGTCATTTTATAAAACTGATTATAAAAAGTTGTTTTTGTAAGACATGTAAACCATAGTTAGGTTGTTTCAAACCTTTCACAAATGAGGAAGTAATAATTTATCAAAACTGACTTTCTCAACGACAAAGTATGTGGCTTTGTTGTGTTCTTTGAATGTAGTCTAATGACAGACTTGTTATTTGAGTTTCTAGTCAATACAAACTACTATCATGAGAAGTATATAGTCTACAGATGATGTAACCTCAGTGTTCCTTAAAAACTAGGTTTTCTAGGGGCCAGCGCCGTGGCACAGTAGGTTAATCCTCTGCCTGCGGTGCCAGCATCCCATATGGGCACCAGTTCTAGTCCTAGCTTCTCTTCTTCCAATCCAGCTCTCTGCTGTGGCCTGGGAAAGCAGTAGAAGATGGCTCAAGTGCTTAGGCCCCTGAACCCGTGTGGGAGACCTGGAAGAAGCTCCTGGCTCCTGGCTTTGGATCGGCATAACATCGGCTGTTGTGGCCATTTGAGGAGTGCCAACGGAAGGAAGACCTTAGGGACTTGGGGCAGGAATTTAGCTTAGTGGTTAAAATGCCAATTAAGATGCCCACATCCTAGGAGTACCTGGATTCAATTCTCAGCTCTGCCTTCTTACTCCAACTTCTTGATAATGCAGACTCTTGGAGATTGCACTAATAACTCATGTAATTTGGGTCCTGCTACCTATGTTGCTGACCTGCATTAAATTTCTGCGTTCTGTTTTCAGCCTCAGCCCAGCCCTGGCCATTGCAGATACTGGAGATATGAAACAACAGATGGGAGTGCTCTCTCTCTCTCCCTCTCTCTCTCTCTCTCTTTCTCTCTCCCTCTCTCTCTCTCTCTCTTTCTCTCTCTCTCTCTCTCTCTCTCTGTGTGTGTGTGTCTGTCTTTCTCTCTCCTTCTCACTCTCAATTTTGTTTTTTAATTCAGGAGTTGACCATGTATTGAGGTAGAATACTCATACATGCCTCTGTGATATGGTCATTAATTACAGAGATAGCAAAAAGTAAACTGATAAGACACTAAGTCCCCAGCCTGGGTGCTATGTCTTGATTGCCTGTGACTACCCTAAATTCATGAGTTGCAGCTATCTCCTGTATTGATGATATTTGAAGGCGGGATCTTTGGGAAGTAATTTGGTCATGAAAAAAGAGCCTTCAGGAAAGGGGTTAATGTCCTTTTAAAAAGGGGAGGCATGGGGTCCCTTTGTTCTCTACCTTGTGAGGGTACAAAGAGAAAGCCTCCATCTACAAACCAGGAAGTGGGCCCTTACCAGCTATGGGATCTGCTGGTTCCTTGATGCTGGAGTTGTCCATCTCTGGATCTGTGAGAAATTGATGTTGGTTGTTTAATTCTTCCACTGGTGGTACCTTTTTTATAGTGATTTGAACTGACTAAAATATTGTTGGTAAGGTCCTTG